AACCCTTGAAACATATAACTTATGTGTGTCAGCTTCGAATAACTCAACGAAATTTGAAAATTTGTGTTGAAAATTAAGTTGGGACTTTTAAAAATTTGGCATATCCAGAATCAACGGGATGCTTCAGCCGGGCTTACTCAGAGCAACAAAATCAAAACTAAAAAAAATCTAAAATGTTGCTACTGCCCTTTACGTGGACTTAAGCAGTTTTTTTTAGCATCAAATTTTATTTTTTTCGCTTGATTTTTGTACTGTCAATTTCAATTGTTGTTTTGAATTTCGAAGAAAACGGAATATGTATGCTTGGAGGGGTTTCAATCAGTCAACTTTCGCCGATCCAAATAATAGTTTTTGGACATTAATAATCATGATCTGGATTAAATTATGCGCGCTAAAGTATGCGCACTCAAAGAATTTATTTGTAAGGCTGAAAAATTAATGCTAATTATTTATGCGTGGCAAATGAGAAAAATTATTCCAAATTGAACTGAGGCTTGCTAATCGGTCATATTAATTTCGCTCGACTCAAAATTTAGCTTTGATTTTGTGCAAATTTTATAGATGTTTAATATACTTTTTTCCCAAAAACTAATCGATATGAATTACAGGACATTTGGAAAATTCAAAGCTTTGCCCTGATATGCGAGAAGAAGTGTTGCTATGTGATAAAGTTTGAATCCTCGAAGAATTTTTTTGAATACTTAAGCTTGCCTGGTCTCAATTTTGTGTGTTGGCTAATAATTCGTATTAAGCTATCAGCATCACAGATCAATTTAAAAAAAAAGTCTTAAGCAAATAGTCTACGTAAGCGCAAAGTGGTTTCAAGATAGTCGTCAAATTCCCTCTTAAAAGAACGTAGACTTCAGGTTTGATCTTAACTGTGTTAATTTTTTTCAGTAATTGCTTGAAAAAACCAAACCAAAATTTCATCCGTCATTTTCTTTGAAATTCGGAAGCACTCGGAAGCAATCGGAAGCGATGATATAAAATTTTTTCGTACCGGAGATGACAAGAAAAACATATATCATATAATTCACTTACAGTTTCCCACACATATAGGACATTGTAGAAAAATTCTATAACAAGCGTTTTTTCATATACGAGAATCGTATGATTAACAATTTGACTTTGCACAAACCACCTCCAATCACTACCTCTGCTTCGCCCTCCAGCTTTTTCCTGATCAACTTGCTTTCACAATGAACGAAGAAATATAAACGAAACGCCAAATGAATTGAGGTGTAAAATTTTGCTGCATGGCAAAAAATTTCCTGCATGACAGAAAGGTTTCCTGATATTTTTTTGAAAAACAATAGACTTCCTGCAAAATGTACTGAATCATATTCATCCTTCTACTGAAGAAAATGCTAAAACAATCACACAAAAACATAAAATGTTGATAAAGATTAAATCAAAAAGTTGGTAGTGGACAGGTTTAAAGAAGTTAGTCATCAGAGTTGTCGATTGTGTACTGAAAGTGGAATGGTTTACCAAAAAAAAGTTGAAGTGAAGAACGGAATATCATAAAACTTTACTACTTTTAAACTAACAAGTACCAGTTACCAAAAATTTTGGGGGCTTAAATCATATATGTATTAAAGATTTTTATATACTCCTTAAATTTAAAATCATATAACATTTATAGAAGCCAGCCTAGATTGCCTTAATTTCGTTTGTTGTATTGTACACATATATCAAAAAGTATGCTTTCCTTGGGTTATGTTAACGAACTTTTATGTTTTTAAAAATGAACAAGAGAAAAACTCAAAAGCACTATAAATAAACACCGCCAAAAAATTGTTTAATGTGAGTCATCAATTTTTTTTTTGGATTTTGGTGAAGTGATTATGTGTTGCTCAACGGGCGGATGGGGCTTAATCGAGTTAGTGATAGATGATAGATGAGGCAGGAGACTTCGCTGAGTTATTGAGTGGTGCTAATCTCGGGTGCCGGATATCAAGCTTGCGGGACTTCAAGCCGAATCGTAAAATTAGGGACTTCAAGCCAACAATTCTCTCATTAACTAATGAAACATGATTATTTGAAAAATTTTTGAAGCATTTCTTAATTTCATGATCTTTCTCCAGCAGTTATTGGTGTTTTCATAAAATGTAAGTCTCCATAAAGTTTTCATAAAAATTAGGCAATTTTCTTTATAATTTATACATTTCAAGAACCGGCTGACATTATATCATATAAAAGCATGAATCAACGCTTTTTATGGACTAAGCTTGCCTAAATTTTCAAACAGCAACGTTTTACAGATGATAAATAGTGACTTGAGGTGCTTATAAATTTAAAATTTCGACCTGAAGTCCTTCGGCTTGTTGTCCTAGACCCGCTAAACTCAAGGGAGAGGCTAAGTTTCATAGAGGTTATTGCGCGGGGATACAACGGAGATGGGTGTTTAGTGGAGCTTGATTGAGTCCTTGAGTAGCTTTAGACAGAGTGGGGGGAACGGTTCTTCAATCGGACAATTGCAAAGATTTGTCCATTTGTAAAATTTCTTAAGATCGCGTACCCCGGTTACCCTGTTCAGTGCGGCGGCTAATCAACAAACCGCCATATCTTGAAGCCGAAATTGCATCACAATAACGTAAAGTACATCAGAATTACGTAACAATTGGATAACAACAATGATAATCTGTTGTAATGTTGGATAGCAAAAACTATGTTCGGCTTGTTGGAATGGTAATCCTATGTTCGTTTTGCTGGCCCTTCAGATTGTTGACCTACCAACGTCCAGTGCAGTTAACTCGTTCCGTGATAGCGGTGGTACCCAATTTAAAATACAAATCAGAAAACGCAAGCGGAGAACTTCCCCCTCTATTTTTAGAATTTTCCCCAAATTTTTTTATGTTTCCGCCCAAATACTTCTCACAACGCAGCATTAACGCATTTCCTAACTAACTCTGAGGTATAATGGAAGAGGGACCTTCTAACTCATACTGCCCAAAAGGTCAAATCTCAAATGACGAAAATATGAAGGAAATCAATTACCTTGAGGAAATCAATTGCATCAAAAAAATTTGTTTCGAAAAACGCGTTTTAATGCGTTATAAAACACGTTAAATGCTGCGCTAAGAGATTTACTTGGGCGGAAACATAAAATGATTAGGGTAAAAAATCTAAGACCGCAGGAAAATGTATACGCTTGCTGATCGACACACATGCTATTTGACTGGTCCTTTAAGGCTTAGACTGCGGAGCTAGGTCTTTTACCATAATGATTTTTTACCAGACCAACTTTTTACCAGACCAACCTTTTACCAGACCACAACCCAATAATGCAATTAAAATAAGGCAGAATTAGTGGATGAACAAAAAGGGAAGCGATTAGAATAAACAAAAATTCGCTGACAAACCGTGAAATAATTGTCTCTAACAAGACTAAGTGGCATCATTACATCTGTCATTCAAATTTGTTATTCGAGTCTGGTAAAAGGCCATTTTATAATTTTTTTTTAAAAAGTCGGTCTGGTAAAAGGTTGGTCCCGTTAGACTGCAATGTCATAAACTGCTTTTAGTTTTCTATCGCACTCGAAATCTAATTGCGGGCGTTCTTAAACTTGTTCATATTGCCACTTACTTTCAAAAAACTTTGTAAGGATCTGTTTACTTGTTCACGCTGAATTTTTAAAATTAATTTAGATAATCAAAAATCATTTGAAGTCTTCTGCAAAAAAATCAAAATTCAAGGAACAAGCGAAGAAGCCGAAACGCTTACACGTGGTCTGGGTGAGACGTCTAGGTTTGATATCGCGCCCACACTCCCGTACAGTGACTGGACTGGCCCTCCTCTCCCTCATTTTCTCCCCTCTCGATCCCTAGTGGTCTCTCATGACTCCCAATTCATGACTTACGCTATTGTCAGGCATCTGACAATTCATGTATTTTTCTGCTGTCGCATGCGAATGATGACTCATCAAAGTAGGCGACGAGGATTTCGCAACTAAGTGACCGTTGGATGCGGTGATCATGGACTCCGAACATCCGCTTGCTTTACTGCTGTTTGAGAAAACAGCCATTCTACACGCACAAATAGCAACACAAAAGTGAAAATCCAATAATTCCAAAAATGATTTTAATTTTGAGGAGTGGTATTTGAAATAGCTGCAATCAATAACCGTAATTGCAACAAGTTTATTCGATTTTGCATCTTACAAGCACCAGCTGTTTAAGCTGATAATAGGCAGATGTAGTAGCTTCAATCTTTATACACTAGTGGACGAAATTACGCGCAAACTCAGGATTACACTCTCTAAAAGTTTGTTTTCAAATTCTATTTTGGATATTTCCTTCACCATTCAAAAAATTTTTTTAGGTAGACCAAGAGCAAATACTCAAAGCTATTCTCTATTAAACTATCAATGTTTAGTTTCAAACACTGGCCAATGTAATCCGGGTCTGAAAATGTAAGATTTCTTCATCTGCACTAAGTTTGTCAATCTGCGTGAAAAAGTAATAATCCTCAGAGTTTAGTAAAATATTCACACTGATGGTTTCAATTTGGTGGCGTTCAACAGTGCCGAAGTACAACAGTGCCGAAATTGAATAGAGTTTAACAGTGCCAAAAAATATGGTTTTCGGCACTGTTGAACATTAATTTTATTTTCGGCACTCTAGTACCTCGGCATTGTTGAACACCCCTCTAAGGGCAGCGCAATAGTGCCGAAGTACATCAGTGCCGAAAATAATTTTATGGTTCAATAGTGCCGAAAATCTAGTTTAGGCACTGTTGAAAACTTTTGTACTGCCTCATCTAATTGCTCATGTTGAGCGCGAGTAAGGAATTGGTGGTTACGTAGCAAAAATTAGACAGGTCAAAAAGTGGACATATATTATTTTAATGAAAGAGAACCGACAGAAGAAAACTAACATACAAAATAAATTTACGCTTTTGATTTTCGAGTACGTTTATTTCTCTTACCTTGATTCTGATTGGTTAACACTGGTATTTGTGTACTTTTTGTCAAATATGAAATAAAGATTGTCAACTTTTGACCGCAAGCCGGAATTAGTTTTGGAACACTTCGCTCAATTCAATTCCGTTGGAGTGGTATATGCGGTGGTGGTATACATGTCTTCATAACTCATTTTGCTCATGCGTAAACTTACGATTCAAGCGCATATACTACCAGAGGTCTTTGACTGTGGTGACTAGAAGACACGTTTATTTCTGAACGAAGACAGCGTTCAGAATTAGAATGAAGGTTTTCGTTCTCTCTATAGCTGAAAACGTTAATTATCATTTTTGTCGGTGATCGGCTTGATAAATCGAGTATTAGAATCGTCAGCATTTACCACTCAAAATATAAAATTATACTTAAATACAAAAATTATTCAAAAATATTTAAATTTCTTTAAAAAAATCCAGTCAGGACAAAACAACCTATTACAGAACAAAATTTTTAAAATGTTCAAATTGAGAAATCATGAGCTAAAAAATTTTCAATCTTAGAGTTTACGACGATCCGTCCGCAGACCAAGGCAACAGATTTCTTTTTTGTAGAAGTTATCCCCTCTCAACATATTTTGCCTACTTACGCTTCAATACTATCGCGATTGCTACCTTATTTTCAGTCTTTTTCTCAAAATTTCTTTTCTTTTGAATTCCTGTTTATGTTTTTCTGATTACAGCCGCACGCTAAACGTTTTATAAATTACTTTTTCTTATAGAAATAAGCTAGTCACCGCTGCTGAGCGACTAAATTAAGAGTCACACAATCGCCGCAAGTTTGAAAACAACTGTCACAATAATGGCCGAGGCAGAGTTTCACTCAATTCAACCATCAGCACCCGATGCACAAAATGGTAAGTTTCTCTGCAGTTTCTCCAACAGTTTTTTTGGTGCGTACTCACAGAGCCGCATTCCCGAATAGCCGAACAAACTCAACTTTTTTGTAAACTAATATGCAAGAAAACAAAAAATGACTAAAAATTCCAGTTCACCCAAAATTGGGACTACTTTTATCCAAACCATTAAATTAGAATGTCTGATATTTTTCCAAATTAATCTAACAAAAAAATCCAATAGATTAGAATTTTTTTAAAATAGTTTTGCTGTCGTGGAATTAATTAGCAAAAAAGTCGACTACTTTAATAACTTGATATTTTTTCAGGCCATCTTCGAACAAATTTTTTTTACCATCCGGAAAAATTTTTTTTTTGGCTATCCGGGAACATTTTTTTGGCTATCCGGGAACAAGCTATCCGGCCAGTAAAACTTTTTCGGCTATCCAGTAAACAACCAATTAACAGCAATAAACAAATTAGTGCATTCAGAGGTAAGTGGGGAGCTGTATCTGCCTCTGTCGCAGAATTTTTTTTCTCGAAAATTAGATCTCTATAGCTTTTTGATAAAACAAAAAAAATTGACCGATTCTAACCCCTAACTCACCTCAACTTAATAGTTTCAATGATTGATGTTTAGCTTTGAGCGAATCGAAATTTTTCGGCTATCAGGGAACAAAAAACATCGCCATTCTGCAATCAACATTACAAGGCCAAACTGTGCATTTTGTGAATTGTAAGCGGATTCCGCAACAGACAAAAATCTAATTTGTCCCGGAATCCACAAAATTGTTTTTTTTTACTTTGATCTTCTCTGCTGTTTTGGATTCCACACACAAATAGCTAAAACATTGTATTGCTCAAAATTGCTCCAAAAACAAGCAACTTTGCGGAATCCGCAACAAAATAGGTGGAATCTGGGACAAGTTTGTGGCATCCATGAACAAATAATATTATATGTGTTTGTAAACTTAACCTGTCGCTGAATCCGCAATTGTAATTGGAATCCGCAATTTTTAAGCGGAATCCTCAAATTGTAAGCGGATTCTGCAAATTGTAAGCTGAATCCGCAATATGTAAGCGGAATCCGCATAAATTTGCGGAATCCACTTACATTTCCGGATACTGCTTATATTTGCGGAATCCGGAACAACTACCTATATTTGCTCGTTGCAAAATACGCAACAAAACTAATGTGCCAAAAAAATATACGCTACAGGTATTTGTACGCGGAATCCATTGAAATTTTGTAATTGGAATCCACTTGCATTTTGGAACATGTTTAAAGACTTGTCAGTGGAATCCAGGAACATACAGACACAAAATTGTGCGCCTATCTAGTGCACAAAATGGCCTCGTAATGAGACAATTTTTCGGCTCTCAATTTTTTTCACGGCTATCCGCTATTTTCACGTATTTTTTTGATAAAATCTTTAAAAATTTTGAAATCTACAAGGCCACAATTTCCAAACACGGATGTTTTCAAAGTAGAAGCTTTCTAGCTATCTAGAAAAAAAAACGTTTTTTTAAACATGGTTTCATGCAGTCTTCCACGGGCCAACTTAGATGTCAAGTCTTCTTAAGCAGATTAACTTTGAAACTAATGACACTTAGTCTATGGGCTGTTATCTTTTGAGAAAATGATTGCTTAATGTGTTTCAGGGCAAACGCAAAAGGTTAAAACGAAAATCAAAAAAATATATTTATCATTTTGTGGTCACATGATAGAAAATTAGTCATATTTTTGTCTTGCTTTTTCTAAATATAACAAATGTTTGGCCCGAATGTGAGAATTTTATTACTAGCATTCTTTGCCAACCAAGTAGTCTATAGAGACGAGTAAAGCGTGTTAATAACTATAAAGTAAATTATAAATTTAATCGGTGGAAAAAGAGATTTTGAAGTTTACAAAACACCATTCCAGTACTAAGAAAATTTTAAGTTACGCATTTTGTGTGTAAAAGATTTAGTTTTCATTTTTAAATTTAATTAACGAAAATAACTGTAGTCAAAATGCTCAAACTATTGTTAAAGTAGCAAAATTTTTGTTTTTATTTGCTCTAACCACATTAAGAAATGTAACTTAAATTGCAAAAAATTAACAAAAAGTTTTCTTTTCAAAAAACTTTTGGGCGGCTTTTTTTGTGGTTTTTGTAACTGGCAATTCATTTTTGTTTTTTTTTGTTTTGCAATAAAAACGCTTCGGATTCTCTGAAATTCTGTCTATGATTCATGATTGAGAAATTTTGGCTAAAAACAGGTGCAAAAGGTGTCCGGTATTAATCTAATTTGAACGTAGTCAGTAAAAGTCAGGAAGGCGTATAGCATGCTGGTAAGGCGTTCATTTTGAGGGCGTAGCACTTTGTGTTTGATCCCCCGCCCTGGCAATGTTAGTGAAAGAGGACGAACTCTGGCCTGACATTATCTATCACATATTGGCTGATTTCGTCTGCAAAAATTGGATGGAAGCCTTCATGCGCGAAGGACCGAATGCGCGAAAATAATAATCAGGCAATCACATTTCAGTATTCTAAATTTTGGTAAGAAATTAAACATTTCCAGGGACTGGAGTATTGATATTAGCCGAATCTAAAAACGGCAGAATTATGCAAAATTTTCGAATTTTTCATTGACCGCTGCAAAAGTAGGACAAATTTTACATTTCAAGGGTTTCGTAATGAAGGTAGCAATTTATTGCTTCATTTAATTCATTTTAACTGAATGGCAATTGTTTCTGTTTAAAAATTGACTTTCGGCTAACTTTGTCTTCGGTCCTTGGCCTACAAGTTTTTTCGCCCATTCGGTCCTTCGCGCATGAGAATAGCCCCCCAAAAATTGTATCACGTGAAATTTCTGCACGCAAACGTATGGCCTTGAGTCGCAAAAAAAGTCTTGTTCAACAAAATGACTTGCTCTGAAATGAGAGGAAATAGGAGAAACATTAGTAGATCCTCCCAGTCCAAGAAAACAATTAAATCAAACCCATCCGTAATCTTTTTTCTTAATTCCATTGATCCTGGTTGCCGTCATTAAGCCAACTCGTCGTCAGGCCGAATAATAAAAACGAGGATTTTTCGCCAAGAATACGCGGAAAAATTACAGTAGCCTTTTTTGTCCGTAATGCGATGAAAGAAAAGAAGAAAGTGCAGATAGTTGAAATTTTAGTAGTTTAATAATTATCGGTTAAAATTGTCGTAAAAAAACGTTAAAGCAAAAAAGTCAAGTAAAAAAGTCAGAAACACATTCTTTTTGTTCTAATTTTTCTTTAAAAATTGAATTGCCAGCTAAGCGCTAAATCAAAACATGAAAAGTTAGTTTATTAGAGACAACGAGTTTTTTTTTTGGCCCAAGAAAAAAACTTCCCAATTGTAAAACCTATTCGCTCGCGAAACCAACAAACTCTTCCCCGAACCAATTTTCTACAACCTCTACTATAATAAATAATTTGGAATGCACGCCTAGTGTTACCAGCACTGAAGAACGACGTGAAATCGAAATCGAATTAATTATAATTTTTATACAGATAATCTTCTGTAAAAAATTGATTTACAGATACTTAAACTGATTTAGAATAGGACACCCATGCTATTTGACACACATGCTATTTTACCGGTCTCCCATTTGGAATGGAGAATAATATATTGATTCGAGACTTTCATTATAAGTAGGGTTCATATGTGGAATCGAGCCAAATTTTGTAAGCCTGAATCCGGCGTGAATCCGTTGTTTAAAAAAGGCCGGCCAGGAAAATTAACAACGAAATAATTGGCCCAAACGTGTTTGATATTTTTCATTAAAAAAAACTTTTTATCGGAGCAAGTAAATTTCACCTTGGCGGTCATTTTTACTGCTGATTCAACGTTTTATAGAAGCAAAACTTGATTCTTTTTCTATTTTGCGAGAACCATTCTTATGAATAATTTCTACTGATTACGCTCAGGTCCGATTGTTATATTTTATTTCAAAAAGCTCTGCCCGAACCCGTTCTGAAACTGACCGGCCCGAAACGCCTCAACCCGAGCCGCAACTTGTTTATTTCCTTCTCTGCTAGGGCTGAAGAAATAGTTGCTAACAAATTCTCAAAAAACGAAAAGTTAACTCTAGGAAATTTTTTTGAGATAGTTGCTAAATCCTCGAAAAGTGGAAACTATCAAAAACAATCTAACTTAAAATTTGTTTACAAATTGGTTCATTATCTGAAAATTTTCGCTCACAGCGGTAAAAAGCGGTTTCTTACAATTAAGTAAGACTGAACTGCCAATTTTAATTGCTGGCTTCATGAGGTTCATACTCACAATTTTTCATGAAGAAAATCATGAAGCAGAAGTAAAAGGGTATAAGAACGGCTGACTTTGAAATTAAAAAAGTAAATAAGAGATAATTAACTAAAAATATTGAAAAAAATTTCAAGTTAGTTTTCTTTTTCATACATTACGAGAGCAAACTGTGCGTTTTGTGCATTTTAAGAGGCATGTAGCATTGTGGTAGGGTGTTCAATTTGAAATCATGAGATCGCGTATTCGATTCCATGCCATAGCAATTATAGTGTGTGGGGATGAGCTCTGGCTTCAGGTCTACCACAGCTTGACCAATTTCGGCTGCAATAGTGGTACCACGTGAAAGTTCTAGACGCAAAAAAGCGGCCTTGAGACGCAAAAAAAAGAGCTTCGTTCAACAAAATTACACAGTCTGGAATGTGGGGAGATAATACAAAAAGACTATCCTCGACAGGACAGTTAAGGCTCGCTGATAGCTCCTCTGCGATTGGCAGGAACCACATTAGTATCATCATTATGATTTTTGTTCAATAAGCTCCTCTCGTAAGTTCCCAAAATTGGCGAGAGTCTGAAGATCAAACTTAGCAGTCCATATCTCTGAAAAAGATTCGAATCGATCTATTATCCGCGCCTTCTCCGAAGAAAAAGACAAAGAAGAGGGAAAAGTCAGCATTCTTAATCGTGAGACAAAAAAGTTGAGCTTTTACATCAAATATAAAGTGTTTTATAGTGAGCTTTTAAATCATTTTGAAATCAAAACATGACAATAAGCATGTGAAAACTTTAAATGCTTAAATTTTTAACTCAAAAAATAAAAGTTTTTAACTAACTTTTCACTCCATTGACATAACACAGGGTCAAAAAATGCCCAAGGGGGTGCGGATTTTTTCAGGGCGGAGGAATTTAAAAACTTTTTGAAAATTTTGTTTACTATTTAGGCCGACCCGGACTTGACTTTTTGGTTTAATTTGACTCCTGGTAGACTTACTACATTTGACTGATAGCTAGAAGGTCGGGATTGGAACTGAGTATAGATAGAAACTTTAGATGCTTGGAATAAGTTCGCTATCCATGAAAATGGTCTCTCCCACCCTCGGGAGGTCCGATTGTTAATGGAATAATTATGTAAGGACCTTGGGAGGATTACTGGGTAAAAATAGCATGGTTAAGAGGGCAAAAATAAAAAGTGGAAGTTCACGGAGGTCAAGAATTAGTTGATTAGGGTTGTATGACATTTGTTTGCTCGGTCGAGTTGTGACACCTACTGCATACCGTGTATCTGATAAGCGTGAAAAGATTGATGAAAGAAAGAGAGCTTGGCACGCGGCAGAGTTGACAGGGGGATGGACGTGGTCACAAAACTTGTGCGGACGGGTGATATAAGCGGATGCCAGGACTGATAGAAAATGGTGTGACTTAACTAAAACTAAATGTAAATAAAGATAAGGATCTGAAGGGTATCGGAGATCCTTCGAGAGTTAAAACACACACGCTAACAGAGCAAACGGTTGGTTCTCAGTTAGAGAGAGGACGGTTGAGCAAGCCGAGAAGAGTAGATGGTCCGTGGAGGACGCTATTGCTTAAAGCGAGGCTAGTTGTGCCGCACAGTTGTTGGTAAACCTGATTCAACCCCGAGTTTAGTACCGAGTTAAATTAAGTGTGTGAGCAAGTTGCGCTGCTTGAGCAGGTGAGATTGTAACTGCTTTAATCGAGGGTTGACGATAGATTTGTCGACGTGGTGCCCGAACGGAGTGAAGAGTGGGCTCCGTTATCGAAGTTGTTAAATAATAGTTAACTCATTAAGTGCATTTTAAATTGCTTTTTTCCCCGTTGCGACTGAGAATTTACTTATTGTGCCCACGATTTGTTAAACTAGCTAGAAGGGCAAGAGGAGAGCGGAAAAAAGCTTAATATAAGGAGGAAGTTGCGTAATTCTTTGATCGGCCGATTTAGTCTGACCACCAACATAACCCTTTCGGGATTGTGGATAATATCGTGTCTCAGTGTCCCTCGTTGTTACCCAGTATAAGGGGGAGAAACTCTGCGGCCGTTAAGTAGAGTGAAATCGTGCTTAAAGAAGACAATTCTCCGAGATAAATGTACAGTAAACATTGCGTTCAAATGTGTGGTAAAATTGCGTTAATTTTTCATTGAAGATGACTTTCCTGAAACGCTGAAACGTGTTGTTTTGAAGCGTTGGAAAACATTTGTAGTATGATCTAAGACTCTTTTGGCTTGTAGTCCCTCCAGCTGGTTGTCATGGAGGAAAAAGAGCCGAACAAAGTCTACTGGTGGGTCTCGAATCCCCGTCCATCTGATATCTGGATATTGACTCTATCCACTAGGCTACAGCCCTTGATTCAGTTTCTTAGTTTTAGGAGATTAACAATGTTATAACAAGTGTAAGTTTGCATTGTATTCGCTACTGCTATTGTGTATACTCGAAGCATGTTTATCTCGTTGCGGTTGAGCAGTGAACTTGGGCCGTTTATGGTCGGCTTGGCCCGTACAAAAGAATTTTATAACAAATCAGCATTCTTAGCAAGTGTAATATAAAATCTATTAACGCCTTGTTATAATTAATATAGAACGAGTTAGGTTGTTTTCTATACTTCAGAACCTGATAATAATAAATCTTTTAAATCAAGAGGAAGAAGTTGTTCTGAAGATGTCTTTCCCTTACCTTCAAAAATGGCAATTTAATTGTCTGTTTTAGCCCCGTACCCAGCAGACTTCCCAGATCAAACTCACATTTCAGCGACACCTATCAGTAAGGTCAAAACTTGAACATTTTTTTTTCAAGTTTAAAGTATTCTACTACTAAGTTGTGAGGTTTTGTTAATGTGGTTGAAACTTTGCCTAACCCCGGCAATTAACGAGCACGAAGTTTGGTTGACTTCGAACGACCAACTTCTATGAAAAGTCGGAGACCATAGCCACTTCTCCTCGCTCGGCCCTTTTCATTCTGGGCAGAAATTTTCATCAATTCTTACTGATGACGCGTAGAAAAAAACTTATGCAAACGAGCGATAAGCGGATGATCAATTTTTAACCAAAACAAAAACTTCTAATTAGGAGATCGTAAGGCGTAATTTAAACCCTCGATCTATCATTTGCTGATAGCATTTCTTGGTACGCCTGCAATAACAAATCAACAATATCCGCTCATCGCAAAATTTAAAAATTATTGGAAAGAACTCATAACCCCACCCCCTGGAGTTTTACCCACTCCACTTATTTTACTTTTACAATATTATTTGATCACAGAAACTATGCACGGGGAAGTAAAAAAAAACTATTGTTGTTGATATTTTTGCCATGAAGATTTTACGGTTGGGATTCACTCATTTACGAATATGAAGATTGAGGTGGGGGGGGGGGGGGGGGGGGTTTAACGTCATTACGCAGCAAGAGTATGTTTTGTTTTTGGGCACCTCAGAACGTAACGTTTTTCTGTCTATGATTTTTATTTTTTCCATCTTGAATTGCAAGCAAAAAAACTGAATTTTTTTTCGAGTTGTTGATTATTTCCTTCTTGAACAGCAAGCAAAACAAGATGATTTTGTATTTTTACAGCTCCTTATCCTGTAGCACGACCAGTAGAGCTGGCGTCATTTTCTGCACAATTTTACCAAGATATCATCAACCAGGAGGAAATCACAGATGCGTTCTCTGATCACGTCATCAGCACTAGTTGCTGTTTCAATGTTCCCGAAAACCCGAAGAAAGACATTGTAATTGAAGAGTTTAGGACAAAATTCAAACTTCAGTACAGGTTGTGCAGTTATGTTGAGGCAAGAAAACGCACTACACGGAGTGAAAAAGGATCTCATCCTGCTCACATTTCAATTGGATCGAACAGGTTCCAATTTATTCTTTCCCATTTTGAACCGTAAGCATTTTGAACCAGGCTCCAAATTCTTGTTCCAATTCTGGTTCTGTTTCAGTTCTGGTTCGCAAGTTTCTAAACACAAAACGCACTCCAGTATTTGTCTGCTTACTGCTGAGTATGAATACGCGATTGACTAAGTAAAGACCGCACTCCCAAATTTTTGTTGAACTTTTGGCTCCCAACTTTCACTTTTTAATCAGTCGCCAAAAATTCAGCGTCGCAGATAACCAGCCGAAAGGACCATTTCTGGTACAAAATTGGTTATAGTTTTTGGCGCGCGCTCAAAATTGGCATACACTCAGGGTTCATAATTACAATTATTTTTCACGAAATTTGTGTAAAATACGATCATTTCCAAATTATACTGTTTCATTTTGAAATTGATTTTTTAAATACTGCTTCTTGTATACACATTTTTATCCGCGGAAACCTAGCTAACACTAAGAAAAGAAACATAATATTTAGTATTCGTTATTAGTCGGCAAATATTTCGGGTCACAATCAAATTTCAGCCCAAGAACGAAGATAAGTCATTGAAACATGCTACACCTTGGGTTCCTCTCTCTCTCTCTCTCTCTCTCTCTCTCTCTCTCTCTCTCTCTCTCTCTCTCTCTCACCGAAGTTATGCTGAAAAAAAGTGTTTCATTATGTTTTTTGACTTATTTTTCATCTTATCATCATCAATTGAAAATTTTAACAATCTTGCCTATACCAGTATCCCAGTTATCTCTAAAAAAGTATGAGCCTTGTCTGTTCAATTGGATGCCACCAAACAGCTGCAAAACGGGCCCTTTTTGTCAGAGAAGGGGTGGAGTTTATGAATGGGGCTAGCATTCCTTTATTTTCTTCGGAAAATAAAAAAGATTGCATTGCTATAGGATGTTTAATTCTCGTAGCTATTAAAAAGACCCGAGCCAACCCAATATTTTTAGCAAGAATTGGTGTACCGACTAAAAAAACTCAATCTGCGGCTCGTCTATTATGCGTTTTCAAGTAATGCAGCGTTTGGAACATTTAGATAATTTTTTTTCAATCTGCGAAAATGCACCGATTAAACTAGCTTTCGTAAGTGTTCTCGGATGTTGAGATTCTTCACGTAGATTGGCGCACTTACCGAAGAATGAACATTTTGTCAAAGTTTATTGAAATTTATAGAAACAGCAACCATTCCAATTGTACCTCAATTTTCATTAACGAAATTCAACTTTGCGTATCTTTCGTAGTGACTGAGACGCCAAAAATTTTCGCCGGAGGCAATTCTAAAAATTTATTCGGCTGTTTTGCAGATTGGTTTGACTTTTTGTCAATTTCGCAATTATTTGGCATTCCTTACTTGCTGCAATCTGTTATAACACATTAAAATTGTTTTTTGTGTTCTCTTGTCTGTGGCAAGTCGACATTTTGTCAAAAGCGCCTTTTGGACAAAAGTGACAGCTAGTAGTATTGAGAAAAAAAAGACAATTTGCACCAAGAGGCAATGAGAGGTTTGAAATCTCGTCCAGTGGCCTTCATGAGACGCCGATAACCTTCATGAGATTTGTGAACAGTTCATGTTTCGGTTCTGGCAATCATGGAACACGTATCAGCACAATTTCGACTTACTAGTTAAAAACTACTGATTGTCGCTGGTGCAACTTATCATTCTTTCAAAAGTTTTCGAACTGTAGTGTTTGACCAATTGTCGCTGCTTTCGACCAACTTTCGTCTCGACCATTTGTCGCTCTCGGCCAGTTTTCGCTTATGGCCTAATAGAACTTTCGACCAGTTGTCGTCTCAAGCTTTTTATCGTACAGTATGGAAAGCAATCATCCTTCCTTCGAAGGATTGCATCTACCTGAAAAAATTTGTGTAGAATAGTTTCTGGTAGTGTTGGAGTAAACAAATTTTCTTCGTACTTGTCATACCTCGATGTATGATCTTCTAATTCCAGGATCCGAATGGATCGGCAAACCGATATTCTAACGCGAAGCGAGATAAAACAACTAGTTGGAACCAATGTTAATTCATGGTCTGACCGATCATTCGGTCGTTGTTTGAGAGAAGATCTCTCAAGGTCGACTGACTAGCCATATGTATGGTTATAACATACATTAACATAAAACATATGTATAAATATATATAACTAGGTTTTGTCGGTCCATGCCGGATGACATTCCCCCTTGAGACAATTTTAGTTTACTAATTATACATACGAATTGAGTTTTAGGGTTCACATGGGACCGTTGTAGTTTTTTGAGTTAAGAGTCCCCGTGGGACTTTGAGTGTTTGTTTATTTTCCTTCTTTTGATGGTTCCTCCTCTTGTTTATTGTGTTCCTCGTCATCCTGCATTTCATTGTCGTCAATCTTTTGTTTCTTCTCGTTTTCTTTGAAAAGTAGGATCTCATTGTTGTTGTCTACCATGTCTTCTTCGGTTGGTGACGTCAGGTCCACCACTTCGGTGTGTTTGGTGCCTAGTTTTGGGCTGATGGCTTCAATAAATTTTAGGCGGGCTTTATATTGTGGGGTCTTATCCGTAAAACCCATCTCTTGAATTCGAGTCTTTAAACTCGGGTATTCTGATTTTGGTTGCTCGGGTGGCGAGTCTATCTCAAAGCGAATCTCTTTTGTTTTCCCGCTGCCCGCTGACTCAGTTATCGTGTTTATTGGAATGGCATTTCCAAATGCATTTGTCAGCGCCAATTGTCGATTTTGTGCAGACTTTTTTTGTGGTTCTGGTGGTGTTGGTGGTGTTCCTTTTTTATTTTGACGTTTTGGCGAAGGGGCTACATCCTCCAAAGATGTGGTGAAGTGGTTGTCGTCCGAATGACTTGATGAATTCTCCAGTGTTCTTGTTGTTGTGGCTTTTTGTATTGGCACCTCCGACTGTAACGTCATCCCTCTAGTTTGTGGTTTTGCTGGTGGTCGTCCACCAGTTCTCTTCCCCGTAGCCTTTGCCTTTCTCTTTGTTGGGCTGCTTGTTTGTTGTCGTGATTGCTTTTTCGTTATCTTCTTTGGCAAACCCGTGGTTTCAATTTCTTCGAAAATTGCGTGTTGTGGCGCGGTGTGGTTTTCAATGTCAAAGAAACGTAGACATGATCCAGTTCTCCGTGCGGATTTATACGCAACATAATCACTAAGCCCAGAAGGTATAAAAGGCCCGTAAATTAGAGGGTTCGGTGCAAAAGCTGTTCCGCTATTTCTTAATAACCTTGGTTGTTTTCCGAATGTTTGTACCCAAGCGGTGTGTGGAGTATATGTCAAAATTTTCCCATCAACTGTTATATATCTTTGTTCGAGAGTTTTTGGGTTTTTCACTTTCGTTGCTATCCTAATTGATTTCCAGGCCACCTGCTCTTTACGTTTCTTAGTATGATGTGCGTCTATTGTTCTCTGTATCCCTTGTTATCTTACTTTAAGCTTATCTTTTGCTTAGTCTATAACTTTAAGACCTGCACCTGTTTTCTGTTGTGTCGGAGAGTTTTGAATTTTCTTTGGCATTTGTGGGCTTGTCTTTCCTTTCTCCTGAACTGACACCTCATCTTCTGATCATCTCTGGAGATCATGCATGATCTCAGCGGGTAGGGGCGGCTTTGTTAATTTCTTTCTATATAAACATGCATGTTTTGCGTTTTCCCAATTTAAGTAATTTGGTGTACTACTTGATGCGATATTCGATAACGGAGTGTTTGGTTATCGGCCCATGTGTGCCTCAAGTAGTGAAATTTTTGTGATGCCGTGTGGTGTGATCCGCAATGTTTTTTTATCATCTCCGCTACATCAAAGGCTAGCCGGTATGGTGTTTGTTTTGTCAATTCTCATTACCGCTAACCTGTGTTTTAATGTTTGTATCATTCGCTCAACTACCTCTATTGCCCTGTGATCGTCTACCGGTGCAAAAAGTAATTTCATATTATTTGAGTTACAAAAAAGTTGAAATTTTTTTGCTCTGAAATTTTGAGCCTGAATCTTAATCTTCGTGGTACACCGTTGTTGGAAATATAGCGCTGCATGAACTTAATAGCAATGTCTGCTGTTGTGTTGGAAACAACTTTTGCTGTGGGAAACTTTGACCATTTATCTATGGCAACCACAATATAAGCATCCTTATTTATTTCATCAGGGAGGGATCCTGCGAAATCTAACTGAACTTCCTCGTTAGGTTCTACTACCGGTTCCATAAGAAATGAATGTTTCTTTCCTAAGATGGGTTTTAAGTTTTTACGTTGTTCCATACACTGCTTGCAATTTTGTGCCATGTGGACAATGGTTCGGTGTATGTGCGGAAACCAGACATGTTGGCATAGATCCAACATGGCCGCCGATCCAGGATGAGTTAAATCTAGACTATCAAGAACTGTTTGTTGCAATTGAGTTGGTATTACTATCCTCTGGTCAATTAGTAGACTGTCTTCGCCGACGTGGAGCCGATTTCTAATGTTGTGCCAGTAGGGTCCATAAGAAGTTTTGATAGCCTCCCAATCCCTTTTCTTGACAAAATTGATGATTGGGCGGAGGTTGCGGTCTTTTTTTGTTGCCGAGGCAATGAATCGTACTCCCAGCACCTTTTGAAGCTTCTTTCTGAACAGTGGGGTGTCTTCCTCGGTTTCCGTTGTATTTGTGGATCTTTCAATTGTTGCCACCACTCCATCAGTGATCAACTCATGGCTGGCCTCGAGTGACGTATTCTTTGTCATCGTTGGGGGTGCCTCTTTGTGACTCGTCTCCTCTTGTATAGTCTTTGTTGGGTCCACGCAGCTCACCCAGACTTCATCGTCCGATTTTTGTTCTCCGGATAGTTTTGTTTGTGTGGCTTTAGAAATGACTCCGGTCTCAGTCTGGCAGAATTTTGATTCTTTTGGGCAGGCGATTTTTTGGTCTCGGTTTCTTTTTTTTTTTGCGCCGTCTGGTTGGTCCGGTGGTTTTCTGTATCATCGCTAAAAACGATTTTTGGAAAGTTTGACTTCTTCCGGGTTTCCTCCGCTTTCTATATGACTTCTCGTGCATCCTGTACTTGCGTGAAACTTTCGGTGTTCGATTGTTTCCTTGAACTGCTTTTCTTTCCTTTGCCGGTTGGTTTTTTGTTCCAACGCGGATCGGAAAGACTTTCCTCCCTGTCCGACGATCCTTGCCCCCGATCAGTCGACTCGGTATATTGTTGTTATGGGATTTTTAGAGGATCTGAGCTTTTCAGTTCCGAGGGGATGAAACCTCCCGTGAATCCACGCGTATCTGATCGTCTGTTCATTTCGCAGTGAATAAGGTGGACGGTTTTTTGAGCTGGTTTAAGTGTTTCTGATTAAGAATGACAGAGAGCTGACTGTTTGTTGGCGATTTTCGAGTGAGAGTGAAATCAAATTTTAGTTCGCAATTGACCGTGATTGGAATGTTTGGAATGTTCGTTTGTTAATTGAGTGTTTGATATAGCGTCTAATAACCCTTTGTTTTTCGCGCGTTTTTTGATCAGTTCATACGGTGCAATGTTTTGATTGGCTAGATTCTTTAGAATGACGTTGTCAATCAATTCGAGGTTGTTTATGAATGCATTAATTGATGCTACAACAAATTCCTCGTCATACTCGCTGGGGGGTATTGCCAATCCAACTGGATTTCGGGATATATAGTCTATCAATCCCATTTTATTTCCCGCAAGATGTTTGATATCAAAGTGAAATGGCATTAATCTATCAATCCACCGTGTTAGCCTACTCTGACTCGTTTTTGATCTTTCGCTTGTATTTAGAGGGCTGATTAAAGCTTGGTGGTCTGTAGGGACGGTAAATTGATTTCCATACAGATAATATTTGAAATGTTCGATATCCCAAACTTTTCCTAATATTTCGAGTTCGTTTACGGAATATTTTTCTTCGAGGGAGTTTAAGAAACGTGATGCGTACGCTGCAGCTATCCAACCCTTTGGTAAACTTTATTCTAACGCTGCCCCTAAACCTGTGTTAGATGCGTCACAAACTATGCGGGTTTCTAATTGATGGTCAAAATGTTTATTTTGAGTAATTGCAGCTACTAGTTTTAGTATGGTTTTGAAAGCTATGTTATGTTCCGTGGACCACTCAATTGGTTTTTTCTGTTCTGTTTTTTTTTTAGCAATGGACGGAGTGCAGCAGTTGCTTGTGCTAAATTTGGTATATATCGTGTGAGGTGGTGTATTGACCCCATAAAACTTTTTGGTTGCTTAAATGTTTTTGGTGCTGATAGTTTTTCTATTGCTTCGGTTTTCTTAATGAGCGGTGTTGTGCCTTCGCTATTAATATTGAATCCTAACCACTCAATCTGTTTGCAAGCGAACTTACATTTCTCAACTGCAATCGCAAGGTTTTCCTCATCTAATTTGTCCAACACTGCTTTCAGCTTCTGTTGATGTAGTTCGGTAGAACCTTTCGTAACTATCAGTATATCATCTAAGTATGCATATGTGTTTGTGCAGTTTGTCAAAGTTAGATCAAAGGCTTTTTGGAATTTGGCTGGCATGTCTGTGAAGCCGCAAAATCCAGTTTGGAATCGATATGTTCCTGTTGCATTGCCACTGATTAAGCTGAAATTGCACTGTTCGCGTGTTTTCTGGTCCAGCGGGATTTGAGAGTATGCATACCGAAGGTCAAGTTTTGAAAACAACGTGTGTTTTGTTTTGTCTGATTTCACTACTTGTGCGATGTTATCTTGTAATAGATCAATATTGGGCATTTGATACTTGTTTTTATGAATAAATTTGTTGATTTTCTTTGAATCCAACGCAAGTTTGCCTGTTTGATCTTTTTTTACAGTAATGAAAATTGGGCTGATGAATTGTCTATCCGAACGTTTATCCAATTCGATAATGTGTTTCTGATCAATCAGTTTGCTTAGTTCTCCCTCCACACGTTCTTGTAAATGTATCGGAAAGCGGCGACGTTTTTGTTGTATCGGAACGAATTCTTTAATAAACTGTGTTTTCATTGTATGATTCTTGGATTTTCCGATACGTACGCACAGTTGTGCGAAATTTTCTTTGATCCATTGTTTAATTGCGGGATCAAACTCTTCCTGTTTTCGTATGGCATGTTCGTTATGTTTTTGATGTTCTTGGATTAGTTTAATACCGATTTGTGGTAACAAGTTTCTTCCTATAATGTTTGCTTTCTTATCATCGACCACGATGAGTGGAGCTGATTGAATTTTCCAGCCCCTTGACTGGATAGCAATAATCAATCTACCCTTTGGAACGATCGTTTCACCGTTGTAGCACGCTAAGTTTCGCGCGGAGTCTCTTGTTGGGATAGTTTTAATCATTGCCTCTTTGTTATTTTGTTGAAGGTGCCGTGCGGTTTTTTCGTTGAGAAAAGACATTGGGCTTCCCAAATCAGCAATAGCAAACAATTGTTCTGATTTTGTTTTCATTTTGACAATGTGCCCGTTTAAGTCGTCCTCTGATAGTGTTCTTGTGTTTTAAATCTCGAATGATTCTCCGATTGCCAACACCGAAAAGTTATCTATTGGGTAATCCTCCCAACCGTTGCTGGAAGAAAATTCGGCAAATGCCACTGGATTGTTTTCTGTTTCGAGATTTTCAGTCTCTAGCTCCTCCTCTGTATCTTCTAGATAGTTTACTTGTGTGGAACGAAAACTTTAGCGAATTGGCCCCGTTTGGAGCATTTGGCACATATTTTATCTTTTGCTGGGCAGGACTGTAAATGGTTTTGATTATATTGATTTCCGCATTTATAACACTGTTTTGACTACCTGTATTGGTATTTCTCTGTTGTCCTCTGTTGTTTTGTGACCCACTTGGGAACGGTCGTCCTCGAGTACCTCGTCCTCTCTGTGCGTTTTGATTGTTAGAGTAGTTAGCGCGACCCCGCGTTTTTATGTAGTTAACCGGTTCTTACTTTGGCGTAATTTGCTGTCCTCCGAAAGGGTTGGTTTTTATAGTGCGACTATGTTTAATTCCTTTTTCTCTACGTATAGCATATTCATATGCGTCTTGTGGGGTACTGGTTTGTGCTAATAATTCTTCAGGTATTTTGTCATTGTTCATGTGTGCGGTGAACATGTCTTAAACCCATTCATCCTCGCAATCCCCACAATCCGCTCGCGATGCTAGTTCCACGAGGCCTGAATGAAATTGCTCTAAGCTCTCTGTTTTCTTTTGCTTTCGACAGATGGAAATGTACCTTTTGAAAGCGATTGTTCTAGTTGTTACAAAAATATCCTCGAGGGTTGTCATTAGTTCTTGTGCGGAGACAGTGTACAAAGTACTCCTTTCTCTCGTGCTTTTATTACGTGGTTCTCCCAACTAACTCTTTTTTCTTGGTTTCTGACTTCTCTATTCTTCCTTTGTGCCTCGATTTCTCCCGTGATTTCAACCTCTTACATTGGTTCTGGAGGTTCGACTAATGCTGGTCGGGCTCTTAATAGATTTCGTACTTCTTTCCCATCTTTCGCAAATATAGCCATTTCCATTATTGCTGCTCACTTAGACCACTCTAGTGGTGGTTCAACAGATGCCTTCTCCCAGAACGGGTTTATGTTGAGTGGGTTTTTAGAGTATCCTGCTGGCTGCGCCATGTCATACCTCAATGTATGATCATCTAATTCCAGAATCCGAATGGATCGACAAACCGATATTCTAACGCGAAGCAAGGTAAATAGCTAGTTGGAACCAATGTTAATTCATGGTCTGACCGGTCATTCGGTCTTTGTTTGAGAGAAGATCTCTCAAGGTCGATTGACCAGCCATATGTATGGTTATAACATACATTAACATAAAACATATGTATAAATATATATAACTAGGTTTTGTCGGTCCATGCCGGATGACAGTACTCAAAGCCATTTTTTTGTTGTGTCCAAGTTTTCCTGTTACGGATTCCGAGACAGCATAATATTATGCTTCATATTTATAAGTGTTGGTTTAAGAATTTTGCAATTTTTACGTAAAATCTGCTGTTTTTTTTGAGCCATGCAGTCTTTTAACTATTTCTTCGTGGAATCCAAAACAGCTAAGAAGATCGAAGAAAACTAGCAGTGTTGCAGAGTCCGCGACAATTCTGTTTTCGGCCTGTTGCGGAATCCGCCTACAATTCACAAAATACACAATTTGGCCTCGTAATGATTTTCACGTAATGACTTCCCATTTGGCCTCGTAATTTGTATCAAACTTCTAGAAAAAGATCTCAACTGGTACATAAAAAATTGATTAAAAAAAGTCCTCGGAAATCGAATGCTTTAGTTTCGGAGAAAGTCGAACCTGATCCATTTCTGATCTAATGCTCGATCAACTAAGGTCGAAACTAGACATCGCGCGACACACCGAGCATCTCCTATTATGACGTCAAATTCGGTTTTTTAACTGAGCACAGAAATTTGCTCAAACGTGTCTGGAGTCCGCAGTCTCATCTTCTGCACGTTGTTGTGGTTTTTGTAGCTGAAATTCAAAGTTTCCTACGCAAAATTCTGACAAAATATCCAGCGGAAATCCAGCGAAAAATTTTTATACATTGATAAAAAATCCGCTTAGTGTAGTCTTTGAGCATTTTTGTTCCATTGCAATTCAGCATTATTATGTGGAATCCAATTCAAATTTTGCGAAAAAAAAACTAATTTCGTGGAATCGGAAACAGTAGAAAAAACGTACAAAAAAATGGTGTCGTAATTAAACAAGGGTTAGAAAGGAGTCGGTTTTCTGACTGTAACTCTCAACAAAGAAGAAGTTGGTGATGTTTGCGATTGTATGCTGGTTTTCAAAATCTAGCGGAAAAAAATAGCCCTGGTTGACCTGCCATAGATGATTACCGCTGGCAGATCGAATTGTTTCCTGATCAGTGGCCATTTATTCATGATCAGGAAGTATGCATGATCCATGATTGGTCTGACTTAAATGCAGTTTTTATTTTCAGTGATCTGTGGTCATATGATCTGAAGCCCTCCTGTGATTGGTGGGAAGGATCACGGGAAGTTGAAACATCGCGAAAAGTACACACATGTCATGCATGTAACGGCCAGAAATTCGACAGGTGTGTAAAACCTTTTAAGCTTACATTTAATGAACAATGATTTACTATTCAAATTGAAATTTGAAAACTGAAATTGAAATTAAAATTGATTCAAACGGTTTCAATTTAAAAAATGATTATAACAACTGTTTTAAATCACAGTCATACAGGCAACTGTTTTCACAAAACTTTTTTCTTGGCTGTTTTTTAAGATCAGGCACCGCGCAATCATTCGATACGTCAAACATCCGAAAAACTAAAAAGCGTTAGAAACATCCAAAAAATGAAAAAATGTTAAGCATCCGAAAAACTGCTTTACTAGGTCAAACCTCCGACATGTTTCAAAAAGTAGAGCAAAGATTCAGGTTTTGTCGTTTGCTTAAAAGGTATTATATTGGTCGAATAAAAGTGACAGCAGAGTCGCGGCGAGGTATCCCGATCTTGGCCAACTGTTGGAAAGGTTCTCTATGAAAACAAAGATAGCCGGGTTACTCTGCAAGTAGCACAGAATGTTCCGACCATAGCTTATTAAAAGAAACAATGGGGTCGATTGATAGATCTTTTTGTTTCAATTAGTAATTAAAGTTATAAGTCCCGGTTAGATTTCATAATAGATCATAGTCGATCTACTCCTAGAGTAAAAATGATGTTTATATAAACAGATAAATTTAAAAAGATGATTAAATTGAAACGTTTAAAGGTTAAGCACAACTGTTCATCTTGTTTTAACTTTTACCAATGGGAGGGGATATATAATTTATGAACTTAAAACTGTACTCTCTCCTAAAAACTTTTGCCGAGAGTTAATTAAAAAGTTATTGTCCGCTGCTCGTCGAGAAAAGGGCATAATGTCTAGTGCCTGCTGTCAGTTGAGAGTTGGCAATTACCAGTGCGGTTGCTCTCGGTGTCTGTTTTGATTGTTTTATTAAACTTAATAAAATGTTTTGCTTGAATTCTTTACGTGTTGACTCTACAAAAAAGAAAATTACGATAAAGAAAACTTAGTTTTCAATTTTAATGATTTTTATATTAAAAAATCTGTATCTAGTTTAACTGGAGAAACTCATAATATTTTAACCTGCCTTAGGAACTTTAAAATTCGGAGCAGTGGGAAAATCATCTATATTCAAAGCCAAAAAAATAGACACACCCAATTTGACTAACGTCGTGGATAAATATTAAGTTCCCTCAATCATCCGTTAAACTTAATTAAAAATCATTTCCAATATTACAATACTATTAAAAAATACAACTATTTTTTTTCAAACTTTTGTCGTTTTTTTCGGCGTGTTGCGATGAAAGGAGCTGAACAAGAAACTAGGGGTTAGATATATTCTACAGCCATACTAAAATAAACAAATTGAAAAACAATTTTTTCTTAAAAATTACTAGAAAAGCGAAAAAATCACACAAAAAATTTTCGATTTTTTTTGAAGTTTGCTGACGTTTTTTGAGTTTTTGAAAAATTGATTCGAAAAATGCGCTAAAAGACTCGAAGTAACTAATTTTACCCGAGTAAAACTAAAATTTTACTATTAAGTTAAGCTATTCTTATTTTTTAAACAATTAATCAATTAAAACAAAACTGCTCGCTCGCTCTATTCGCTAGAAATCAGACGAAAAACCAAAATTTTAAACCGGTTTTTCTCGACACTGGGTAAACTTTTTCAAAATATTTAAATATGGTTCGAATCACAACTTTAAGAGCTCTAAAATGATATATCACTCAACCCAGTCCGATGATTATTTGTGGTACTTGATTTCGCGTGGAAAAAGAAAAACACACGCGAGTACAAAAGTCCTCCGGAACAATTTGAAATCGGCGTATTGAAACATCTTAACTTTGAATTATTTGAACGACATATTATAACGTAATTATTATATAAGTTCGGATGTTTGTCGTTGCGGACGGATGTTTGACATATCGGATAAATGCCCTATGTCCTTTCATTGTCAGATTTTCAAAGTGTTCAAAAATTAGTTATTTGAACAATTAAGTTAATTACCTAATTCACTACAAGGTGTGGTAACATCAGAAAGTTCAATTAATAATGTAATCAAAGACATCAATTGCGTAATCCACTTCAAGAGGTAGTAACTTCAGAAAATTTTAGAACTAAACCTCGGTTATCATATTTAATGATGTTATTACATAATCCACTCAAATGTGTGGTAACTTCAGTAAGTTAAGCAAATAAGTATGTAATCATTGACGTCATTACATAATCCAGTACAAGGTGTGGTAACTTTCAAAAAGTTTCAGAAGTAATTAGGTTATCTCATTTAATGAGGTTGTTACATAAGCCACTACAAGATGTGATAACTTCAGAAACTTAGGCGAATAATTTGTAATCATTCAAGTTATTGTATAATCCACTACAATGTGTGGTAACTTCAGAAACTATGCAAATAGTTATGTAATCATTGGCTTTATTACTTAATTATGTAATCATTGGTTATTACATAATTCATTACAAGGTGTGGCAGCTGTCACGGCACTGGAAGAGTGGGCGAAGATGGCAATGAAGCTACTTGTGGTAGTTGCAGCGGCAGAGGCTTCAGAGAATGCTGCGCTTGCAATGCGACAGGATTCATCACGTACGTCGTTACAATGTTTTTTTTTTGCAAAATTAAAAAAAGTTGTTCCTCGAAGTTTTTACAATATTCCATTATTGTGGAATTACCTTTGCTAGGAAAATTACCTTTCAGGTTTTTCATTCATTTTTTGTCGACCAAATCAGAGGCTGATCTATATTTTTTTCTCGAATGGGAATTTTCAAAAATTTTACGAAAATTTTGTCGACTTTTTTTCAGGTCTATAAAAAACTATAAAAACCCTTTTTCAACAATTTATTTGGGGAGCGCTCCACCTTCAAAATAAGCATATATTCGATCCGAAGGCTCCTATAGAAAATTTTAGGGTTTGTCGGCCAAAATCTGATGTCAATTAGGCGTTAAATTTTTTGAGTTAAATGTTCGTATTTTTGTATTTAAGAGATATAAATTTGGTTGTTGCCGAATATAAAGAGAAAGATGACTTCCACTTCGAGGGATCTCAAGTGGGGGTTCCAGATGAGAAGCTTGAAGACGTCAGTGGAATAAAGATGTTCAATGACGAGCAGTACCCATTCATACCCCCCATTCCTCACTACCCCGAATCAGCCACTCTAGATGGTGCTGTAATGAGTATACTTCAGAAACATCACGAGAAATACGCGGTCAAAAAAAGCGACTACAAACGAGTTCTGAAACAGAAGCACTCTTTGATGGCTATTCCTGTATCTGAGGTGGATCTAACTTACAAGGAGAAAGAATACAAGGCATGGGTGTATGGATCAGAGAAAAAAGTGTATTGTCCAGAAATGAAGAAATGTTGCTCGATTTTGTAGATTCGTCTTTGTATAATTACCCAAAAAATACAGTTAATTGCACAAAAAAAATTCAGATTTTTTCAGGTTTTCCTGTGTTAATCTCTTTTGAAGGAGCATTTTGCACAATATACCCCAAACGAAGGTTAAAGGGGAAAATCGATTAAAAGCAGAGCGCTATGTCTCTCAAAAACGCTGAATAAGGGCGGACGTTCGGGAAGGTTTTTGCAATTTTTGACTTAAAGTTTTGACTACGCTAATTCGTATCAGTCCATATAACTGTTTCAATAATTCAAGCATTATTATCCACGAAAAATTTTGAACAGAGTGAGCAAAAATTTCCATTTTCCCGCTCAATCTGTTTTAGTTGTTAGTCAATAACAATTGATGACTAGAAAACAAGTGATAGAAAATTGGGTCATTTTCAAATTTTTGCAATTTTTTCGGTGAACTGATAAATATTTTTTTCTTAGTTGCAGTTTTTGATAGAACTATGATCTCTTTTTCGATTCATTGCAATAATCATTTGTTGAACAAAATGATTACAGTCTGATTGTTTTTGCTATTTCCAGAGCAGGTCATTCAGAGAGCAGCTCGCTAAAATTTGCTAAGCTATTAGAATTTGTCAAGAAAAAAACGTTGTTTTAAACATTTAGTGCTTGTTCTGAACTATTGTAGGAGCTTTCTTAATCTCTCCGCATGAAACATAACTTGGCGAAAATGAAACATCTAACCTGAAATATCTAACCTAAAACATCTAACCTGAAACATTCTCTGCAATCATTTTCCCTCTTTTTATCCCAAATAGACCTTTTATTTAGTTGAATACAACTGTGTAATTTTTTGTCCGCGAGAGCTAACTAAAACAAGTCGGTGCGCATCTCCAACAGCTCAAGTTTTTTCACATCACATTATTTGGCAAGTAAATACAAGATTTTCAAAACAAAAACTCCAATATTTTCAAGTTTGCATGCTGCAATATGAAGAATCCAAAAATAACGGTTTCCCTAGAAGCAATTGTACATTTTAGCAACTCCAGCTCGTACAAGTCTTTTGGTTAAGTGTTGATTGATAGCTTTGTGAATCTTTTCATCATCCAAGTTTTTCTTAAATTGTGTCTCGATCAATCATTTATTTGATAACAAAACGAATTTTCACATTTTTAGCAACAATTTTTGATAGAGTATTTTCAATCCTGTCTCTTCTAGCCTTAACGACTATTTAAACAAAATGTTTAACACCTTTTTGAACTGTTTGATACCTTGCAAGCCAAGTTCCATAAAAAAGACAAAGAGAGGAGTGATAACTAACCCACACTCAAGTGTGAAGCAAGTAGTTATTTTTCTTTAAGTTTGTTTCAACAATTCGCTTGCAATTGCATATATTTTTTAACGTTTTCTTCGATACTGTTTTTTCCAATTTCAACGTTTTTGAAATGTGAAGAAAAAGTTGCAAGTTTTGATTTTATTTCATGTGGATTAACTAAATAGCGTGGAACGTATCCAAAAAATATCCAATTTTCGTTTTTGCTAAAAGGGAGGCGGTAGAAAAAACAATTTTTTGTTAGAACTGGTTCTGACTTATTGTTTGGTTTTATCAGACTCATGCTTTTATGATCTCAAGCCCTCCTGTGATTGGTGGGAAGGATCACGGGAAGTTGAAACTTCGCGAAAAGTACACACATGTCATGCATGTAACGGTCAGAAATTTGACAGGTGTGTAAAACCTTTTAAGCTTACATTTAATGAACAATAATTTATTTTTTTAATTTGAAAATTGAAAACTGAAATTGAAATTGAAATTGATTCAAATGGTTTCAATTTGAAAAATGATTAGAACAACTGTTTTAAATCACAGTCAAACAGGCAACTGTTTTCACAAAAAATTTTTCTTGATTGTTTTCAAGATCAGGTACCGCGCAATCATTCGATACGTCAAACATCCGAACAACGAAAAAGCGTTAGAAACATCCGAAAAACGAAAAAATGTTAAGCATGCGAAAAACAAAAAAAATGTTAAGCATGCGAAAAACAAAAAAAAATGTTACAAACAGCCGAAAAACGAAAAAGTGTTAAACATCCGAAACACTGCTGTACTAGGTCAAACCTCCGACATGCTCAAAAAGTAGAGCAAATATTCAGTTTTTGTCGTTCGCTTAAAAGGTATTGTATTGGTCGAATCAAATGTGACAGCGCAGTCGCGGCAAGGTATCCCGATCTGGGCCAACTGTTGGAAAGGTTCTATATGAAAACAACGATAGCCGGTTACTCTGCAAGTAGCACAGAATGTTCCCCTCATAGCTTATTAAAAGAAACAATGGGTTCGATTGATAGATCTTTTTGTTTCAATTTGTAAGTAAAGTTATAAGTCCCGGTTAGGTTTCATCATAGTCGATCTAGTCTTAGAATTAAAGTGATGTTTATTTAAACAGAAAAATTAAAAAAGGTGATTAAATTGAAACGTTTAAAGGTTAAGCACAATTATTCATCTTGTATTAACCTTTACCAATGGGAGGGGATTTATAATTTATGAACATATAACTTTACTCTCTCCTACAAACTTTTGCCGGGAATTAATTAAAAAGTTATTGTCCGCTGCTCGTCGAGAAAAGAGCATAATGTCTAGTGCCTGCTCTCAGTTGAGAGTTGGCAATTACCAGAGCGGTTGCTCTCGGTGTCTGTTTTCATTGTTTTATTAAACTTAATAAATTGTTTTACTTGAAATCTTTAAGTGTTGACTCTACGAAAAAAAAATTGCGATAATTTTAGTTTTCAATTTTTTAGTTTTTGCGAAAATTTGTTTAGTTTTAAATTTTTAAAGAAAAAAATGAGAAAGGAAGACATATGCATTTTAATGATTTTTTATATTAAAAAATCTGTATCTAGTTTATCTGGAGAAACTCATAATATTTTATTCTGCCTTAGGAACTTTAAAATTCGGAGCAGTGGGAAAATCATCTATATTCAAAGCCAAAACAATAGACACACTCAACTTGACTAGCATCGTGGATAAATATTAAGTTCCCTCGATCATCCGTTAAACTTAATTAAAAATCATTTCCAATATTACAAAAGTATTAAAAAATACAACTATTTTTTTTTCAAATAATTGTCGTTTTTTTTTTGGTGTGATGTGATGAAAGGAGCTGAACAAAAAAAACTAAGGGTTAGATATAATATGCAGCCATACTAAAATAAGCAAATTGAAAAATAAGCAAATTGAAAAAGCAAATTCGATTTTTTTTGAAAGTTTTCTGAGGTTTTTTTGAGTTTTTGAAAAAATTGATTCGAAAAATGCGCTAAAAGACTCGAAGTAAACTAATTTTACCCGAGTAAAACTAAAATTTTCCTTTTAATTTAAGCTATTCTTATCTTTTGAACAATTAATCAATTAAAATAAAACTGCTCGCTCGCTCTATTCGCTAGAAATCAGACGAAAAACCAAAATTTTAAACCGGTTTTTCTCGACACTGGGTAAATGTTTTCAAAAATTTTAAATGTGGTTCGAATCACGACTTTAGGAGCACTAAAATAATATATCACTCAACCCAGTCCGATGATTATTTGTGGTACTTGATTTCGCGTGGAAAAAAAAACGCACCCGAGTACAAAGTTCCTCCGGAACAATTAGAAAGTGTATCAGCGACCTATCGAGATTAAAATCGGCGTATTGAAACGTCTTAACTTTGAGGTTTTTGAACGACATATTATAACGTAATTATTATATAAGTTCGGATGTTTGTCGTTGCGGACGGATGTTTGGCATATCGGATAAGTGCCCTATATCCTTTCATTATCAGAATTTCAAAGTGTTTAAAAATTAGTTATTTGAACAATAAAGTTAATTACATAATTGACTACAAGGTGTGGTAACATCAGAAAGTTCAACAATTAATTATATAATCAAAGACATTAATTGCGTAATCCACTTCAAGATGTAGTAACTTCAGAAAATTTTAGAACTAAACCTCGGTTATCATATTTAATGATGTTATTACATAATCCACTCAAATGTGTGGTAATATCAGTAAGTTAAGCAAATAAGTATGTAATCATTGATGTCATTACATAATCCATTACAAGGTGTGGTAACTTTCAAAAAGTTTCAGAAGTAATTAGGTTATCTCATTTAATGAGGTTGTTACATAAGCCACTACAAGATGTGATAACTTCAGAAACTTAAGCAAACAATTTGTAATCATTCAAGTTATTGCATAATCCACTACAATGTGTGGTAACTTCAGAAACTATGCAAATAGTTATGTAATCATTGTTTTAATTACTTATTTATGTAATCATTGACGTTATTACATAATTCATTACAAGGTGTGGCAGCTGTCACGGCACTGGAAGAGTGGGCGAAGATGGCAATGAAGCTACTTGTGGTAGTTGCAGCGGCAGAGGCTTCAGAGAATGCTGCGCTTGCAATGCGACAGGATTCATCACGTACGTCGTTACAAAGTTTTTTTTTGCAAAATTTAAAAAAGTTGTTCCTCGAAATTTTTGAAATTGAGAAAATCTTTGTGGAATTGCCTTTGCTAGGAGAATTACCTTTTAGGTTTTTTATTCATTTTTCAGCGACCAAATCAGGGGCTGATCTATATTTTTCTCGAATGGGAATTTTCAAAACTGTTTCGTAAATTTTGTCGACCTTTTTTCAGGTCTATAAAAAACTATAAAAACCCTATTTCAACAATTTATTTGGGGCGCGCTCTCCCATTCAAAATGATCATACATTCGCTCCGAAGGCTCCTTAAGAAAATTTTAGGGTTGGTCCGCCAAAATCTGATGTCAATTAGGCGTTAACTTTTTTGAGTTAAATGTTCGTATTTTTGTATTCAAGAGATATAAATTTGGTTGTCGCCGAATACAAAGAGAAAGATGACTTCCACTTCGAGGGATCTCAAGTGGGGGTTCCAGATGAGAAGCTTGAAGACGTCATTGGAATAAAGATGTACAATGACGAACAGTACCCGTTTATACCCCCCATTCCTCACTACCCCGAATCAGCCACTCTAGATGACGCTGTAATGAGTATACTTCAGAAACATCACGAGAAATACGCGGTCAAAAAAAGCGACTACAAACGAGTTCTGAAACAGAAGCACTCTTTGATGGCTATTCCTGTATCTGAGGTGGATCTAACTTACAAGGAGAAAGAATACAAGGCATGGGTGTATGGATCAGAGAAAAAAGTGTATTGTCCAGAAATGAAGAAATGTTGCTCGATTTTGTAGATTCGTCTTTGTATAAATACCAAAAAAATAATCAGTTAATTGCACAAAACAAAATCAGATTTTTCCAGTTTTTCACGTGTTAATCTCTTTTGAATTAGAATTTTGCACAATATACCCCAAACGAAGGTTAAAGGGGAAAATCGATTAAAAGCAGAGCGCTATGTCTCTCAAAAACGCTGAATAAGGGCGGACGTTCGGGAAGGTTTTTGCAATTTTTGACTTAAAGTTTTGACTACGCTAATTCGTATCAGTCCATATAACTGTTTCAATAATTCAAGCATTATTATCCACGAAAAATTTTGAACAGAGTGAGCAAAAATTTCCATTTTCCCGCTCAATCTGTTTTAGTTGTTAGTCAATAACAATTGATGACTAGAAAACAAGTGATAGAAAATTGGGTCATTTTCAAATTTTTGCAATTTTTTCGGTGAACTGATAAATATTTTTTTCTTAGTTGCAGTTTTTGATAGAACTATGATCTCTTTTTCGATTCATTGCAATAATCATTTGTTGAACAAAATGATTACAGTCTGATTGTTTTTGCTATTTCCAGAGCAGGTCATTCAGAGAGCAGCTCGCTAAAATTTGCTAAGCTATTAGAATTTGTCAAGAAAAAAACGTTGTTTTAAACATTTAGTGCTTGTTCTGAACTATTGTAGGAGCTTTCTTAATCTCTCCGCATGAAACATAACTTGGCGAAAATGAAACATCTAACCTGAAATATCTAACCTAAAACATCTAACCTGAAACATTCTCTGCAATCATTTTCCCTCTTTTTATCCCAAATAGACCTTTTATTTAGTTGAATACAACTGTGTAATTTTTTGTCCGCGAGAGCTAACTAAAACAAGTCGGTGCGCATCTCCAACAGCTCAAGTTTTTTCACATCACATTATTTGGCAAGTAAATACAAGATTTTCAAAACAAAAACTCCAATATTTTCAAGTTTGCATGCTGCAATATGAAGAATCCAAAAATAACGGTTTCCCTAGAAGCAATTGTACATTTTAGCAACTCCAGCTCGTACAAGTCTTTTGGTTAAGTGTTGATTGATAGCTTTGTGAATCTTTTCATCATCCAAGTTTTTCTTAAATTGTGTCTCGATCAATCATTTATTTGATAACAAAACGAATTTTCACATTTTTAGCAACAATTTTTGATAGAGTATTTTCAATCCTGTCTCTTCTAGCCTTAACGACTATTTAAACAAAATGTTTAACACCTTTTTGAACTGTTTGATACCTTGCAAGCCAAGTTCCATAAAAAAGACAAAGAGAGGAGTGATAACTAACCCACACTCAAGTGTGAAGCAAGTAGTTATTTTTCTTTAAGTTTGTTTCAACAATTCGCTTGCAATTGCATATATTTTTTAACGTTTTCTTCGATACTGTTTTTTCCAATTTCAACGTTTTTGAAATGTGAAGAAAAAGTTGCAAGTTTTGATTTTATTTCATGTGGATTAACTAAATAGCGTGGAACGTATCCAAAAAATATCCAATTTTCGTTTTTGCTAAAAGGGAGGCGGTAGAAAAAACAATTTTTTGTTAGAACTGGTTCTGACTTATTGTTTGGTTTTATCAGACTCATGCTTTTATGATCTCAAGCCCTCCTGTGATTGGTGGGAAGGATCACGGGAAGTTGAAACTTCGCGAAAAGTACACACATGTCATGCATGTAACGGTCAGAAATTTGACAGGTGTGTAAAACCTTTTAAGCTTACATTTAATGAACAATAATTTATTTTTTTAATTTGAAAATTGAAAACTGAAATTGAAATTGAAATTGATTCAAATGGTTTCAATTTGAAAAATGATTAGAACAACTGTTTTAAATCACAGTCAAACAGGCAACTGTTTTCACAAAAAATTTTTCTTGATTGTTTTCAAGATCAAGTACCGCGCAATCATTCGATACGTCAAACATCCGAACAACGAAAAAGCGTTAGAAACATCCGAAAAACGAAAAAATGTTAAGCATGCGAAAAACAAAAAAAATGTTAAGCATGCGAAAAACAAAAAAAAATGTTACAAACAGCCGAAAAACGAAAAAGTGTTAAACATCCGAAACACTGCTGTACTAGGTCAAACCTCCGACATGCTCAAAAAGTAGAGCAAATATTCAGTTTTTGTCGTTCGCTTAAAAGGTATTGTATTGGTCGAATCAAATGTGACAGCGCAGTCGCGGCAAGGTATCCCGATCTGGGCCAACTGTTGGAAAGGTTCTATATGAAAACAACGATAGCCGGTTACTCTGCAAGTAGCACAGAATGTTCCCCTCATAGCTTATTAAAAGAAACAATGGGTTCGATTGATAGATCTTTTTGTTTCAATTTGTAAGTAAAGTTATAAGTCCCGGTTAGGTTTCATCATAGTCGATCTAGTCTTAGAATTAAAGTGATGTTTATTTAAACAGAAAAATTAAAAAAGGTGATTAAATTGAAACGTTTAAAGGTTAAGCACAATTATTCATCTTGTATTAACCTTTACCAATGGGAGGGGATTTATAATTTATGAACATATAACTTTACTCTCTCCTACAAACTTTTGCCGGGAATTAATTAAAAAGTTATTGTCCGCTGCTCGTCGAGAAAAGAGCATAATGTCTAGTGCCTGCTCTCAGTTGAGAGTTGGCAATTACCAGAGCGGTTGCTCTCGGTGTCTGTTTTCATTGTTTTATTAAACTTAATAAATTGTTTTACTTGAAATCTTTAAGTGTTGACTCTACGAAAAAAAAATTGCGATAATTTTAGTTTTCAATTTTTTAGTTTTTGCGAAAATTTGTTTAGTTTTAAATTTTTAAAGAAAAAAATGAGAAAGGAAGACATATGCATTTTAATGATTTTTTATATTAAAAAATCTGTATCTAGTTTATCTGGAGAAACTCATAATATTTTATTCTGCCTTAGGAACTTTAAAATTCGGAGCAGTGGGAAAATCATCTATATTCAAAGCCAAAACAATAGACACACTCAACTTGACTAGCATCGTGGATAAATATTAAGTTCCCTCGATCATCCGTTAAACTTAATTAAAAATCATTTCCAATATTACAAAAGTATTAAAAAATACAACTATTTTTTTTTCAAATAATTGTCGTTTTTTTTTTTGGTGTGATGTGATGAAAGGAGCTGAACAAAAAAAACTAAGGGTTAGATATAATATGCAGCCATACTAAAATAAGCAAATTGAAAAATAAGCAAATTGAAAAAGCAAATTCGATTTTTTTTGAAAGTTTTCTGAGGTTTTTTTGAGTTTTTGAAAAAATTGATTCGAAAAATGCGCTAAAAGACTCGAAGTAAACTAATTTTACCCGAGTAAAACTAAAATTTTCCTTTTAATTTAAGCTATTCTTATCTTTTGAACAATTAATCAATTAAAATAAAACTGCTCGCTCGCTCTATTCGCTAGAAATCAGACGAAAAACCAAAATTTTAAACCGGTTTTTCTCGACACTGGGTAAATGTTTTCAAAAATTTTAAATGTGGTTCGAATCACGACTTTAGGAGCACTAAAATAATATATCACTCAACCCAGTCCGATGATTATTTGTGGTACTTGATTTCGCGTGGAAAAAAAAACGCACCCGAGTACAAAGTTCCTCCGGAACAATTAGAAAGTGTATCAGCGACCTATCGAGATTAAAATCGGCGTATTGAAACGTCTTAACTTTGAGGTTTTTGAACGACATATTATAACGTAATTATTATATAAGTTCGGATGTTTGTCGTTGCGGACGGATGTTTGGCATATCGGATAAGTGCCCTATATCCTTTCATTATCAGAATTTCAAAGTGTTTAAAAATTAGTTATTTGAACAATAAAGTTAATTACATAATTGACTACAAGGTGTGGTAACATCAGAAAGTTCAACAATTAATTATATAATCAAAGACATTAATTGCGTAATCCACTTCAAGATGTAGTAACTTCAGAAAATTTTAGAACTAAACCTCGGTTATCATATTTAATGATGTTATTACATAATCCACTCAAATGTGTGGTAATATCAGTAAGTTAAGCAAATAAGTATGTAATCATTGATGTCATTACATAATCCATTACAAGGTGTGGTAACTTTCAAAAAGTTTCAGAAGTAATTAGGTTATCTCATTTAATGAGGTTGTTACATAAGCCACTACAAGATGTGATAACTTCAGAAACTTAAGCAAACAATTTGTAATCATTCAAGTTATTGCATAATCCACTACAATGTGTGGTAACTTCAGAAACTATGCAAATAGTTATGTAATCATTGTTTTAATTACTTATTTATGTAATCATTGACGTTATTACATAATTCATTACAAGGTGTGGCAGCTGTCACGGCACTGGAAGAGTGGGCGAAGATGGCAATGAAGCTACTTGTGGTAGTTGCAGCGGCAGAGGCTTCAGAGAATGCTGCGCTTGCAATGCGACAGGATTCATCACGTACGTCGTTACAAAGTTTTTTTTTGCAAAATTTAAAAAAGTTGTTCCTCGAAATTTTTGAAATTGAGAAAATCTTTGTGGAATTGCCTTTGCTAGGAGAATTACCTTTTAGGTTTTTTATTCATTTTTCAGCGACCAAATCAGGGGCTGATCTATATTTTTCTCGAATGGGAATTTTCAAAACTGTTTCGTAAATTTTGTCGACCTTTTTTCAGGTCTATAAAAAACTATAAAAACCCTATTTCAACAATTTATTTGGGGCGCGCTCTCCCATTCAAAATGATCATACATTCGCTCCGAAGGCTCCTTAAGAAAATTTTAGGGTTGGTCGGCCAAAATCTGATGTCAATTAGGCGTTAACTTTTTTGAGTTAAATGTTCGTATTTTTGTATTCAAGAGATATAAATTTGGTTGTCGCCGAATACAAAGAGAAAGATGACTTCCACTTCGAGGGATCTCAAGTGGGGGTTCCAGATGAGAAGCTTGAAGACGTCATTGGAATAAAGATGTACAATGACGAACAGTACCCGTTTATACCCCCCATTCCTCACTACCCCGAATCAGCCACTCTAGATGACGCTGTAATGAGTATACTTCAGAAACATCACGAGAAATACGCGGTCAAAAAAAGCGACTACAAACGAGT